CCCCTGCTCCTGCCCCCCCCCCCCCCCCCAGCCTGCCTTGGCAGGCCAGCTGGAGAAGCAAAAGGGGATCTTCAAAAGCCTCCCCTTCCCCAACCGGCCTGCCAAGGTGGGCAGGGGGGGAGCGAAGATAGAAGGGGTTTAAAGTGCTGGGGAAGGGCAGGGGAGGCTTTTGGAGATGCCTCTCCCCCCTTTTGCTTCCCCTTCTGACATCACTTTCGGTGATGTCGGGGGTGTGGTGTGGCATATGCTAATGAGCTATTATGCTAATAGCTTATTATTTTATTTATTTATTTATGCTTTCGACTTGTATCCCGCTCAACCCCGAGGGGTCTCTGAGCGGCTTACACAATTTCATTTATCCCTATCTATGGCCACATCGTCAGGGGTGTGCTAATGAGCTCCTGCAGCTCTTTTTCTACGAAATGACCCCTGATCATATCACCTCTCAGTCGTCTCCTCTCCTTGTTGGGTTCCACCTCCTCCTGTTTCCCACAGGGCGCCCAGGGCACAGAAGTAGGGATAACCCATCACTTTCATTTGTCCCCCAGCACCAGGTATTCAGGGGTAGACTGCCTGTGAATATGGAGGTTTCATTTGTCTTCCATGGCTCATAGATGCTGATAGACCCATGCTCCATGAATTTGTTTGAGTCTTTTAAAAGGTTTGTTATTCCAGTGGCTATCCTGGCAGTGAGTTCTATCAATGCTGTACAAAGAAGTGGTGGGCTCAGGGCGTTGTCCAACAGTTAAATAATACAATTAGAGCAATATTAAAACAACAATTTACACATAAAATATCATAAAATACCGTGTAACTATAGCTGTAGTCAGATGGCCAATCAGAATCCGGCCACTGGTGGACAATCAGCCGGAAAAAGCTGGGCCAGAAAACCTCCCCATATGGGCTCAGGGCGGTGTCTAAAAGTTAAATAACACAATTAGAGCAATATTAAAATAATGATTTACACATAAAATATCATAAAATACCGTGTAACTATAAGCTGCAGTCAGATGGCCAATCAGAATCCGGCCACTGGTGGACAATCGGCCGGAAAAAGCTGGGCCAGAAAAGCTAGGGCCAGAAAAGCTAGGGCCAGAGAAGCTGGGGGGGACGTCCACTGCCTCAACCAAATGCCCGGCGGAAGAGCTCCGTCTTTCAGGCCCTGTGGAAGTGCAATAATTCCTGCAGGGCCCTGATCTCACTCCCACCAGGGAGCTCATTCCACCAGGCAGGGGCCAGGGCCAAAGAAGCCCTGGCCCTGGTCGAAGCTAGCTGGATGTCCCTGGGGCCGGGAACCACTAACAGATGTTGATGTGTTGATTTTGTCTGCCCAGTTGATTTCACTGAGTTAGTGTTGACAGAAGATGAAAAAGTCCATCCTGTCAGTACTGGGTAAATGAATGGGAAGTTTCCCTAACATCTGAGACCCTGTCACTGAAGATGCTGGAGACTGGGACCGTCTGCTAGATGGTTTCCAGGCAGAGAAAGGTCTTTCCTGACATGCTAGATTTGAGTTCAGTAACACCTTCGAGACCAACGAGACATCCAGGGTGGGAGCTTTTGAGACATTAAAAATCAACCACTAACAGATGTTGATTGGTTGATTTTGTCTGCCCAGTTGATTTCACTGAGTTAGTGTTGACAGAAGATGAAAAAGTCCATCCTGGCAGTACTGGGTAAATGAACGGGAAGTTTCCCTAACATCTGAGACCCTGTCACTGAAGATGCTGGAGACTGGGACCGTCTGCTAGATGGTTTCCAGGCAGAGAAAGGTCTTTCCTGACATTCCCTACCCTACCTGAGGTCTTTCACTAGAGATGCCCATCTGCGACCTTCAGTTTGCAAAAATGCACATGCCCTACCGCTGAGCCTGTCCTCCTTCCTTAATCACTTGAAGCTGATTTCTTCCCTGGCAGCAGGGAACTGTGGAAGACGTAGTTCTGTGAAGAGCCCTACCTGCTTACAAACCTACATTGCGAACAGTTGTTTAGGGGCTCAAAAGCTGGCCTGCCGTTCCATGTTATTTCGGTTGGTCTTAATAAAAGGCATCATGTGGCTTTTTATTCTGGGATGTTGGGAGAGCTGTGACTGTTGAATATTGATGGAGAGTTTGAGGAATTCATGTTTATTAAAGGAGCATAGAAATCTTAGTTGTCTCAGGGCAGGGCAGGGCAGGGCGGGGTGGTGGTGTAAGAATTCTCTCTGAGAGCCACGTTCTCTTTGCAGAACCCAAAAAGATGAAACTGGTTTTTGCATCATTCATGAATACCATTTGGGCTGGTTTAGCAAAATGCCCCCATAACTTGAGCCGTGGGTATTGCGATCAAGCCAGGGTGTTTTTTTTTTGCTTTTTGCTTTAAAATCATCACATTGAAAGAGGAAAGGAAGAGAAGCAAAAGGAAAGTGGGGGATGGAAGCTGTCTCCTCAGGCCCACTCTCGAGCCCCTTGCCCCACACGTGCCGATGGGCTGGCAGTCTTGTATCCGCTTCCAGTGTTTGTTTTAAAAGAGGACATCACTCACTCTCATGTACGGGAAGGCCTTCCGGGCAGCCCTTCTAGCAGCAGCTAGATTTGAGTTCAGTAACACCTTAGAGACCAACGAGACGTCCAAGGTGGGAGCTTTTGAGACATTAAAAATCACAGCACTCAAAAACAAGTGGGAGAACATTTTAATCTTCCCGGAGATTCCATTGCTGACCTAAGCGTGGCAGGCGTCAAACAGAGAAGCTTCAAGGGGAGATCACAATGTGAGATTGCTGAACTAAATAAGGACTCAGGGTTCTCCATTCCAGCTTGTGTCTGACAAAGAGAGCTTTAACTCTCAAAAGAAGAAGAAGGAGATTGGATTTATACCCCGCCCTTCACTCGGAGTCTGAGAGCGGCTTACAAACTCCTTTCCCTTCCCCTCCCCACAACGCACCCTGTGAGGTAGCCAGGGCTGAGAGAGCTCTTTCGAGGACTGCCCTTGAGAGAACAGCTCTGGCAGAACGATGGCTTGCCCAAGGTCATCCAGCAGCTGCGAGTGGAGGAGTGGGGAATCAAACCCGGTTCTCCCAGATTAGAGTCCATGCACTTCACCACACCAAGCTTATACCACCCAACCACCCAAAAAATTTTTTTGTTGGTCTCCAAGATGCTATTGGACCCAAACCTAGCTGAAACGGTCTTCTAAAAGCAGTCTTTTGTTGGCCTGGCCAGAAAAAACACCCACTCCCCGGAACTGAGATCCTCTGATGGGTCGCATCCCATGACGGAGCTTTGCTTCAGGACGTTGTGGGCATAAACAGTGCCCCTCAGGTGGGGCCCATAACCTGGCAAGGGCAGGGCATGGAAACCAAGGCTTGTCTGCGATGGATGGCGACCTTTGTGCAATGAGACGACAGTGCCTCTGTTGGGGTGCTGTCATTTTTGGGCGAGGGGGGCTGCTGGTCTTCTCCCAGAACTGCTTTTGCTGTCCTCCGTCCGCTCTTCTTCACTGGCCAGGACCCTTGCGGTGGGCTTTTCTGTGTTACTTCCGTGCAGGGCTCTTTTTGTAGAAAAAGACCAGCAGGAACTCTTTAGCATAATAGGCCACACCCGACAGCAGAAACTCATTAGCATAATATGCCACACCTCCGACAGCACAGCTCGTTAGCATGTTAGGCCGCACCCCCATGTTACCAGAAGTGTGGTCATCCAGCCACACCCACCTTTTGCTTGTTATTCTGTTTACCTTGTTTGTTGTCAAAACCCAGGGCCTTTTTTTTTGTAGCAGGAACTCCTTTGCATGTTAGGCCACACACCCCTAATGTAGCCAATCCTAATGAGTTTCTGCTGTTGGGTGTGGCCTATTATGCTAATGAGTTCCTGCTGGGCGTGGCCAACTCGGGAGCCAGACGGAACTCCGTTCCTGTGCGTTCCTGCCCAAAAATAGCCCTGCTTCCGTGGCCTCCTTTGTTTGAATCCCCCTCCTCCCGGTTCTTTTCCTTTGGAGGCAGGAGAGACCCTCCTCCAGTGGCCATTTTCTTTTCTGCAGTGAACACTTGCCTGGCCCCCCCCCCCCAGATTGCTAACCCTTCGTACCCTTGTCCTTCCAGGCAACAGAAAGCGTACATCGCCACCCAAGGGCCATTGGCAGAAACCACAGAGGACTTCTGGCGCATGCTTTGGGAGAACAATTCGACCATTGTGGTGATGCTGACCAAACTTCGAGAGATGGGTCGGGTAAGTGGAGGGTAGGGAGTGGCAAAGCAAAGGCGCCAGACTATCGACCCCGATCCTTACGTTGGCTCTGCTCTGTGTGAAAATCTATAGCAGGGGGTGTCAAACATAAGGCCCGGGGGCCAGAACCAGCCCATCCAGGGCTCTTATGCAGCCCGCGAGCAACTAGTGCAAGGGAGGGAACCGGAGACTGTTCGGAGGGGGGTAGCAGGCAGAGCCAGTCCAGTTGTGGCTTCAGCATGGCAGAACAGCCTCATCTGCAGCAGCCAAGCAGTGTGGGAGCATCTGCCCAGTGCTGCACCACTGGCTCTCTACTCCGCCCCTAATGGGTTTTCCTTTGGACCCCCCCCCAGCCCAGGGGGCCTTGCAGTGAGGATACACAAACTCAGAGCTTACCAGCTGCTGCCCTTTATACAGTTTATACCTCCAGTCCCTGGCATTAGCGTTTTACGGAACACATGGCCCAGCCCGACAAAGTGGCATTTAAGTCAGGTCTGGCCCTCGTAACAAATGAGTTCGACACCACTGAGCTATCGCTTTGGGTGTTCCCTCTGTGCAGCTGCAGTAAGCAGTCTGCAGACACAGGTGTCTCGAGTTGGGGTGGGGGGAACACTTTGTAGAAGTGGGCGGGCAAAGTCGGGGCTGGAGGATGTAACGGTTTCCATCACGGCTCCGGCTCTGTGGAATGGGCTCTGTGCGATTGGTGGGGGGGGGGGCCTGGTTAGAGGTGTTCAGGAGGCCCTGCGAGGCCAGCCTGGATGCCAGGGAGGTTTGAAGGTCAGGCATCTTTTAAATGGTGGGGGGGGAGGGATTTGAGGCTTGCTATTTCATTTTTGGTTTTCGCTGGAGACGGCTCGACTATTATCGTGACGTACGCCGACTTGAACCACAAGGAAAGGCGGGATACAAACGTTTTAATAAATAGATAAATACAACTAGCCAATAGGTGGGTTTTGTTCCAGAGGGCAGCCATGTTGGTCTGCGGTAAAAGAGCGGGGTCCGGATCCCCTTAGAGACCCCACAAGATTTTCGGGGTACGAACGTTCGAGAGTCCAAGCTCCCTTCGTCTGGTGGAGTCATGCGATGTCACGTGTATAAAAAAAAAAATCTATACTTGAGTGCCCCGATGAAGGCAGAAGAGGAGGGATGAGTCGTGGGTTCGGATCCCTACACTGCCAGGAAGGTTGCTGGGTGACCTTGGGCTCAGCCTGCTCACTCAAGTAGCCTACCTCACGTTGTTGTTGTGAGGATAAGACACATAAGAACATAAGAGGTGCCAATGTTGTATCAGGCCAAAGGCCCATCCAGTCCAACACTCTGTGTCACACAGCGGCCAGAAATACCAGGTGTCATCAGGAGGTCCACCAGTGGGGCCAGGACATTAGAAGCCCTCCCACTGTTGACCCCCCTCCCCCAAGCACCAAGAAGACAGAGCATCACAGGTGAGGAGACACAGGTGAGGAGAGCAACAGATGCCTGTCAAAGCTCACTGGAGGCAGAGCAGGACGCAAAAGTTCTAGAAAGCTAAACAGAGGTGTAAAAGAGCTGCTGGCTGTTTGGGAACCACAGGACGCTGTTTCTGAAAGGTATTTGATTTAGTTCTTTGTTGTAGAATTTCCGGGCTGTACGGCCGTGGTCTTGGCATGGGTAGGACCTGACGTTTCGCCAGCAGCTGTGACCGGCACCCTCAGAGGTATAACACATTTTTCTGAGGGTGCCAGTCACAGCTGCTGGCGAAACGTCAGGTCCTGCCCATGCCAAGACCACGGCCGTACAGCCTGGAAAATCTACAACAACTAATGAACTCTGGCCGTGAAAGCCTTCGACAACATACTTGGTTTAGCTCTGTAGGGTTTCCCGTGGAGGTGCAAACCAGGGGTGTCCATGGCTGAGGACAGTGCAAACAGTGGGCCATTGATCACAGCCGTACAATGGGAGGGCGGGCTGACAGTGCTTAAAGTTAAGATGGGTTTGGTATTGCTGGTCGTAAGTGCCGATGGAATCCCTCTCTCCCTCTCATTTACACCAGTTTGGTGTAGTGGTTAAGTGCACGGACTCCAATCTGGGAGAACCGGGTTTGATTCCCCACTCCTCCACTTGCACCTGCTGATGTGACCTTGGGTCAGTCACAAGCTCTGGCAGAGCTGTCCTTGAAAAAGAGCAGTTTCTGTCAAGAGCTCTCTCAGGCCCGCCTACCTCACAGGGTGTCTGTTGTGGGGAGGGGAAGGGAAAGGAGTTCGTAAGCCGCTCTGAGACTCCAAGTGAAGGGCAGGGTATAAATCCAATCTCCTCTTCTTCTTCTTCTTCATTTGGTAACAGGAAAAGTGCCATCAATACTGGCCAGCAGAGCGGTCCGCGAGGTACCAGTACTTTGTGGTGGACCCCATGGCCGAGTACAACATGCCTCAGTACATCCTCCGGGAGTTCAAGGTCACCGACGCCAGGGTGAGTCGTTGGGGGTGAGGAGGAGTCCTTGCCCATTTTCTGACAGCAGCCAGCGTTGATGTTTGGGGGAAGCAACATCTTCCTAGTTTAACGACAGGGGAAGTAGCCAAGGCCCATTTTTGGGTGCATCTGTCCCCCAGCGTAGCATACGCTAACCAGCAGTCCCACTCCCCCAGGGCTGAAGCAGAAGGCCTTTCCCACCCTTGCCGTCTTGAGGAGAGCCCCACTTGACCAGAGCGAAGGTCCATCGAGCTCAGCATCCTGTTTCCAGCAGCAGGGAAGCCCACAACCCTCCACTCCTGCATGTCTGGACTTGTAGCACTGGGTGTTCAGACTTGGACCGACCTTGAATTTTGATGGCTGGCTGCAGCCATCGGCCACAAGCAGGCATAGAGAGAGACGTATCCCCTTCCCTGAATTTGTCTCCTCCCCTAAGCGGGAGGTTGCAGCTCATCTCTCTGCCATGCTTTGCCATTGAAACAATAAATACAGCATGGATTGGTACCACCTCAGCTATCAGTCTTGTCCCGCCCCTAATGCTGCAGCAGGAAATGCCATCATTTTGTTTGTTTGTTTGAAAATGAATTCTACATTCATGTTCATTTGTGGATTGTGGGGTTTTTTTGGTTTGTTTGTTTTCTTTTAATCTAAGAGCACAAAACTGCTGTGGGCATTGGGGCTGGCGGCTTCTGGGGGACGTTATGGGTGCTAGCCAATCAGTACTGTGCAGAACTGATGTGCTTCATGCTCGTAGAACAGGGCAGTGGGGGTGGGAGCATTGGAATCTAGAGAGGACCCCAGCATATTTGGACGGAAGGCGGGAAAGGAGTTTCCCGGGAAGCCCCGCTGCTCTAAAAAGGAAACGTTTGTCTTTGTGTGCCCCCTCCACCCCCTGTTGGGTTCTGTTGCATCCGAATCACAGCAGTCTCTCTGCTTTATCACCAAAGGAGGCCGTGCAGAAGAAACTTCCAACAGCAACGCAGCCCTCCTCATGCTAGGCCTCCAGCTATCCTCTTTTCTTCCTCGCACTGGCTTATCGCGGTTCTTCTCCTCCCTGACGGCGGCACCGAGCAAAGCTGCCGTCTCGCAAGTGCCTGAGCGCCGGCGACGAGGCTGAAGCCACCCCTGCGTTTCTCCTCCAGCAGCCGCTTGCCTCCTGCCGTGTAATTCCTTTGAACTCGTTTCAAAAGATTATTACAGTCTCCCGAGCCAAAATACAATATATATTTTAGATCTGCACATATATGTATAGGGAAGCGCACGGCCGCGCTTTAGTGGTCTCCCCATACAAACTGTTTCCCTTGGAAGCGGGGGGGGGGAGGGGCGCTTCCCTGGCCCTCCTGCGGCTGTCCTGTTGGAACGAAGGCACAGAGAAACCAATCGAGGTAAGGGGGTCTCGGGTTCCAGGCAGTTCTGCAGAAAGCAGCCGGTGTCGGTGCAGCTTTGGGAGTGATCCAGGCCGGCTTACTGCCAGCAGGAAATTCATTACCGCGAGATAGAGAGATGGCCGCGGGCTTTGAAAGGGGATTAGACAGATTCATGGAGGAGAAGTCTATCCCCGACCGTTAGGGTAGATTGATAGCAGCGGCCGCAGAGCTTCTGCTGCCTTTGAAGGAACGGTGCTCTGCACCTGCTCAGAGGGACTGTCTCCTTCATGCTTTGCGGACAGGGCCACCTCAGCTACAGAAGGAAATGGCATCTTGGGGGGGGGGGTCCTTAAAAAAGCCATCAGATCTTTATTTTGTTTCCCAGGAATCACGGCAGGAGGAGTGGTTTTGTGTTCTTCCGCATCCGTGTCTCTCTCCCGGCACCGCCTCCGCATAACCTCACTCCTTTCCCACTGCCTTGCAGGACGGACAGTCGCGGACCGTCCGCCAGTTCCAGTTCACCGACTGGCCGGAGCAAGGCGTGCCAAAATCCGGTGAAGGCTTTATCGATTTCATCGGGCAGGTACACAAAACCAAGGAGCAGTTCGGACAAGACGGCCCGATTTCTGTCCACTGCAGGTAAGTCGGGAAAAGAGCGAGGAAGAACAGGGAAGGGGGGGGGAGTTAAGCGAAGCTTTGGGGGTCTTCTGTCCTAGGGCTGCAGATGCCCCCGCTGCTGCTCTGCACCTTGGAAGGAAGCGGAGCCGTGCGGCCGCTCAGCCAACCTTCCTGCTAAGCCAAAGACTCTTGTCAGATGGGAAGCCCATCGCTGCCTCCTGATTGGCTGGACTCGGAAGCTTTCCTCGCTTCCCAAATCCCTGGCAGAATTCTTTCATTAGCACAAGACTTAAGCCGAGAGCGTTGGCTTCCAGAGCATGGAGGATTTGGGGGGTGGGGGTGCTGTTCCTTAAAGCTAGCTCCTAATTGCAGTCAATTTTCTCAGGCAAGGCAGACTGTCCTGACCCCACGAGAGCTTGCAAGTCTGCATTGATCATTAACCCCTGACTGTCTCAGTGCATCCTTTCCAGAACCTGAAAATTGTACACTTGGGCTCTTCAGCTTGCTATTTCTCTTTCTCTCTCCACCCCCCCACCTTTATATTTCAAGAAAATTCCTAGCTCACCTGCAGATCTGTTGGAAGCCCCTTCCCAATAAGGTTTTCTCGCTTTTTCGGTAAGGGTGTTAATGGAAAGCCTGCCTGGAGTCCAGAGGGCTCAGTGACAGAGCTTTGCCTCCAGAAGGCCCTGGGTTCTGTCCCTCACATCTCCAGTTAGAGGATCCCAAGTAGCAGAATCTGGCAAGGCTCTTTCTGTGCCGTGGTCTGAGGGGAGCGGCCTCCTGTCAAAATGGATATTACTGAGCTGGGTGAGCTGGTACCTGATTTGCTGTAAGACCACGGCCAGAGTATGCGGCCTTGACCCGGAAGGCCCAGACTGGCCCGGTCCCATCCGATCTCAGAAGCTAAGCAGGGTCGGCCCCGGTCGGTACTTTGGTATGGGAGAGCACTAAGGAAGTCCAAGGCTGCGACGCAGAGGCAGGTAGTGGCAAACCCACCTCTGTTCGTCTCTGTCCTGACCTGGATGGTCAGTCTAGCCCAGGGGTGTCAAACTCATTTCTTACGAGGGCCGGATCTGACATAAATGAGACCTTGTCGGGCCGGGCCATGTGTATGTCATTAATGGCGGAGATATAAACTTTATAAAGGACACAAACACAAAGGGTTTTTTTTTTAACTTAAAATGAAAACATGCTTAAGACATTTTGCACTCTTGCAATATTTTGTTTATATAACAGTGTCTGATAACTGACACCTCTCGCTCTGCTCATCAAAATGCCTGTGCTGTTGCAACCTTGAGTAGGCTGTTCAGGTGTGTATCTGTAAGCTGCAAACCTACGATGATGCAGCAGCAACAGAACTGGAAGAAGAAGCAGAAGACAGCCAGTTCCACTGCGGGCCTGATAGAAGCCCTCTGGGGGCCTGATCCGGGCCCCGGGCCACATATTTGACACCCCCGCTCTAGCCCAATCTCATCAGATTCAGAAGCTAAGCAGAGTCGGCCCTGATTAGTGCTTGGATGGGAGCAGTGTTCCCTCTAAGTTGAGTTAGTGGTGAGCTAGCTCACTGTCCTTTAGCCTCCGGCTCACGCATTTTTGTCTTCGCTCAGGAAGGATGGGCACCAGACCAAGCTAATCGATGCAGCAGCCCAATCGCTCGCTCACCACTTTAATGCCAGTAGCTCACAAAGCAGAATTTCTGCTCACAAGACTCCACAGCTTAGAGGGAGCCTTGGATGGGAGACCACCAAGGAAGTCCAGGGTTGCTGCGCAGAGGCAGGCCATGGCAGACCACCTCTCCTGCCTTGAAAACCCAGTGGGGTTGCCGTAGGTCGGCTGTGATTTGAAGGCGAAAAAGGAATAGAGCATATGACTATGAGTGTGGAGATCTGAGTTCAAGTCCCTTTTCAGCCGTGTTCACTGGGTAATGATGAGCCACACTCTCTCAGCCTAGCCTACCTTACAGGATTGTTGTGAGAATAAAGCGGAGGCGGGGAGAGCTCCGTTCTGCCGCTCTGGGCTCCTGGAAGGAGCCATGCCATTAAAAATATAATTTTGATAGTCCCTTAACTATTTTTTTAAAAAAAACAACAACAACACCTGACTCGATAACCAAGATTTCAATATTTGCATATTGTAAAACCTCCGAGAAAGTTCTGGGATTCAGCTCCGGGGAACTGAACGATTTTTCTCAAAGAGTTCTCCACGAGGGCAGCTTTATCTTGCCGCCGGCAGCCTTACCAGTTCTGGGTGGTTGTTTTTAAAATCAAAGCGTGGTTTGGAAAGGGGAAAAAAAGTGTGACTACCGTACAGGAACTAAAAATGTGTTAAATTCAAAGACGTTTGAGAACCAGATATTTTTAAAGGGAGCGCCTGCGGTGGGTCACCTGCTTTGCACGCAGAAGGAACGCCTTGGGGGAGTCGCTAAGACGTCAGGAAAGGCCATTCTCTACCCAAGACCCTGGAGGGTCCATGAGAGCAGTCAGTCCAAAGCTAAAGAGACCCTCAGTCTAACTTGGTTGAAGGCATCTTGTTCGTGAACAAATTTATATGGCTACATCTTTCCTCCTGCAAATGGCATTAACTGGGGGGGCCTCTTGTTTTGCTACAAAATAAGCATCCAGCTCCCTCCTGCATTGTTGAGTGAGAGGTGGGAGCTTGCTGCTCTCTCCTGGGCAAGTCAGCCATCCCTTTTCATAACACCATCTTTGCAGTGTTTTCCTTTCCACTGAAGCAAGATTCCCAGCAGCAAAACCCCTTTCAAGAGCTCCAAAATCCTCAGCATCTTTCTGCTGCTTCTGCGTGGGCCCAGGTGGGGAGGGGGTGGCGGCGTTAATCTGCGATTAAAGCTTTAGTTGATTAATCGCACCACTGGAGGGATTAAAGCTCCCGTCCAGCGCCAGCTTGTTTTGCTCGTTTTCAAACGGGTGCAGCAGAGCCGAGGTGCCGTGCAGAATGCACTGTTTGCAGGAGCACCTGGTCTTCCTGTGAGCACAGCAAAGAAAACCCAGTTGAGTTCCCAGCTGTCTAATGCTGTGGAAGGACTTGGCCACCTGCTCGACAGGAGAAGGGAGTGCACCCGTTTATGGGCTTCCATATCACCCTGCCTCCGAGGGGCTCAGAGCAGCGTATGTGGTCTCCTTGGGACAGACAAAAGGAAGTACTTCTTCACTCAGTGATCAGCTTGGGGAATCCACTGCCACAGAGTGTGTGGATGGCCACTAAGAACATCAGAAGAGCCCTGCTGGATCAGACCAGTGAGGGTCCATCTAGTCCAGCATCCTGTCTCACACAGCAGTCACGCAGTTCCTCTGGACGGCCAACAACAGGACATAGAGGCCAAGGCCTTCCTGAGGTCAGAAGACCTCCGCTGGATCAGACCAGTGGTCTATCTAGTCCAGCCTCCTGTCTCACACAGTGGACAACCAGTTCCTCTGGAGGACCAACAACAGGGCATAGAGGCTGAGGCCTTCGCCTGACAAGAACATCTGAAGAGCCCTGCTGGATCAAACCAGTGGTCCATCTAGTCCAGCATCCTGTCTCGCACAGCGGTCATGCAGTTCCTCTGGACGGCCAACAACAGGGCAGAGAGGTTGAGGCCTTCATAAGAACATCAGAAGAGCCCTGCTGGATCAGACCAGTGAGGGTCCATCTAATCCAGCATCCTGTCTCACACAACAGTCACGCAGTTCCTCTGGACGGCCAGCAACAGGACATAGAGGCCAAGGCCTTCCTGAGGTCAGAAGGACCTGCTGGATCAGACCAGTGAGGGTCCATCTAGTCCAGCATCCTGTCTCACACAGTGGCCAACCAGTTCTTCTGGAGGGCCAACAACAGGGCATAGAAGCCAAGGCCTTTGCCTGACAAGAACATCAGAAGAGCCCTGCTGGATCAAACCAGTGGTCCATCTAGTCCAGCATCCTGTCTCGCACAGCGGTCATGCAGTTCCTCTGGACGGCCAACAACAGGGCATAGAGGCCAAAGCCTTCCCCCAATGTTGCCTGCTGGCTCTGGGATTCAGAGGCTGACTGATACACCTTCCCTCCATGAATCTGTCTAATTCCCTTTTAAAGCCATCTACACTAGTTGGCTTGAAAGGGGGATTAGACAAATCCATGGAGGAAAGGTCCATCAGCGGCTATTCGTCACATGATTGCATTGAACCTCCATTTTTAGCAGCAGTTTACCTCAGAATACCACAGTTGGGGGAAGTTGTTGGTCTTCGTGCCCTGCTGCTAAGGCTTCTGGGCCATCCAGTTGGCTGCTTTATGAAGCCAAGTGCTGGACTATCAGTCTGAGGCAGCACAGCTGCTTTTACGTTTCTTCTTCCCGTCTTCATTTTATCCTCTCAACAACCCTGTGAGGTAGGCTAATCTTGAGAGACCACAGCTGGCCCACGCACTCAGGGAGCTTCCTAGTGGCTGAATCACAGATACATGAAGCTGCCATATTCTGAATCAGACCATTGGTCCACCATGTTCAATATTGTCCTGTGAAGAAATGCATTTTTTCTCCTGGGAGGTTTGAGATGAGCAACTTCCACGGTGCGTTTTTTAAACTTTCTTCCCCCTTTGTGCAGAGAACAGGTGTGGGGGGGAGTCTATTCATTTGCTTCCCAGACATACATCAGCTCACCTTCATAAAAATGCTAATAGATATAGCAGGAGAAATAATGGGTGGGTCAAGCTCTCCCACAAGCAGGGAAAAGGGGTTTTGGAGGACTGAAATGCTAGATCAGTGTTTTTCAACCTTTTTGTGCAAAGGCACACTTTTTTCATGAAAAAAATCACAAGGCACACCACCATTAGAAAATGTTAAAAAAAATTAACTCTGTGCCTATATTGACTATATATAAAGTAATTTTCTTGAATAGGAATCAAATAAACACAAAGAAATTATTTTATAATTACTTTATTATGAAATAATAATACTTTATTTTCATTTGCTTCCCAGACATACATCAGCTCACCTTCATAAAAATGCTAATAGATATAGCAGGAGAAATAATGGGTGGGTCAAGCTCTCCCCCAAGCAGGGAACAGAGGTTTTGGAGGACTGAAATGCTAGATGGACACCAGGAAGGAAACGTCTAGAATTTTCAGGGAAATGCTTCTCTGACTTGGGCTGACCTGGTCAGGGGGTGGTGAAAGGAAGAAGATAAAACTCCTGGGGGCCAGGAGGAAGCTGTATTTTCGTTGCGTGCTGTTAAGTCCGATGCTTAACAAAATAGTCAGAGAGTGATTTCAGCAAAACTCAGGTTTTGACCATGTGCTGGCCTAAAGAGCTGGAGGGAACTTCAAAGTAATGCAAACTTTGTAGGGATTTGTAACTACCTAAGCTAAAGGGGCCTGTCCTATATTTTAACATCTGATAGGGCATGTATAGAGAGAGGTTTTGTGTTTCCCCCATTTCTTTTGGATCCCTTGCCCAGTCTGGTGCTGGGCTAAAAGAATGCTTGTAAACATTTTCTTTTTAATAAATACTTTATAATTTTGGGTGCTGGAAGTGGTTCTCTGTACCACAATGACCTCCACCGTCTCAGACACACTATTTTAAAAGGAGCGCCAAGGGGAAGGCAGGCAGTTGGCAAGTGGCTATGCCTCCAGGCAGGGGTCGTTTCGTAGAAAAAGAGCTAGGGGAACTCATTAGCATATGCCACACTCCCTGACATCACCGGAAGTGTGTCATAAGGCCACACAC